TAGCGAGTTAGTTTAGAGATCTGAAGTTGAACAAGAACACGCCTTTTTCCAACTGTTCATGAATACAGCATATTGTATCGATAAGACAGCTGTGATGCCTCCATATTGCATATGGGATTCTAAAGCATTGGCTATACGTCAGCAGGTGAGGAAAACCAAACTTATGAATTTTACCTGTCGAAAGAATTCTATCAAATTTCCTCATAGCAAAGAGAATGATACTTGGTTTGCAAAATATTCCTGTTTTAGCCTTTTTGGAAAAAATAATTCCACTTACGCTTATCCTGACAATAACCCTACTGTTAGAAAAATGAAGGTATTTCTTTCTTTTTAGATAATCAAGAAGTGTGAGAATATGCTGAGGGAGTACCGCACCTCTTCCCGTTTTCTTCTAACTGAACCATGCCGTCCGCTAAACGTCTACGACTATTCATTCGATCTGCTGAGCCGTCATGCACTCGACTGATATCTATTTTCAAGGATTACAGACGTATTAGATTGCATTTGCTCATCGTTTTGTATTTTTTTTACAACTTTTTGATTACTACCTCTTCGCTGCCATTTCATCTGAACATCAACTCACTGATTAGTAACTTGTACTTTCATTTCGCTCTACTGCCACGACGCAGTTCAAGCTGCTTCCACTTTTCTACTCCCGTTCTCTACTGGTATCTTTTGACAAGCGTTTATCGTGTACCGGACTTAGACGCTCTCTTCTTGCTGCTGCTGATACGCAGTCCCGTTTTTTGCGCACCAAGCCACTTTTTTCTTCGACATCGAACGGATCGCTATAGACAAAGAATTGCCCGCGTTCGCTTTAGATTTGGGTCAACTAAAAACACAACGAACAAGTGTGGGAAACACATAATCACAAAATTTAGGTAGTATAATTTATTTATTTATTTCACTCTCATTGTCTTGTTTACTGCATTCTATACTTCCGCAACTCGAGCGCTCAATAGTGGATGCTCACATACATATCAAATCAATCAAATTTCATCAGGGCTATCATATCCATGGAAATCGCCTGCCAGGTCTGACGCATTTAACACATTGGTGGCTTTCTATTTTATTTTATGTTTATTCATCAGATAAAGTGACGTATTACAACAGTCGGAAAAGCTTTGCTCAAAGCAAAAAACAGTAGGGATTTGGCAGGAGAAGGCTTTTTCTAGACTTTCTTGCCCAGTCTATAATCACTTTTACCTCTTAGGTTAACCAAAAGCTCTGTCAGTTTATTGTTATAATTTAAGCGATAAATAAAGGTGATTTCTAATATTCTTTTGCGTGCTCTAAAAAATAAATCTGGGAAGATGAAGAAAACAGAAAACTAGCGGGAAAAATGCACGAAATCCACCAAACAAGAGGCCGAAGGTAGTGATAATTCGGGAATAAACAAAAAAAAATCGTTTTTCTGAACTTTTTTTTACATTCAAGAACTCGTTCACGCGACGAAAACTTCTTATTAGTTGTGATTTCCTTATTTATGGATAATTTGTTAATACAATATAATACTACTTGTTTTAGCAAATTTCTCTCTTCTTGTCAAAGGTGACAATTTTGC